AACCTTAGTGATTCTGTGATTCTGTAATATTCTGCATTTTGACATAGAGATTGACAGCTGCTGTGAAGACTGAGTATACCAGTTTGAGCTGTTGTGGGGATCCATCAAACAAGAGAATTAGTGAAAATTTAAATTGTGGTGGAGAAAAAGGCATTCCCCTTTTCCCATGCTTCATTTTCTAGGACATGCTTTCAATTTTACTAGAAGCAAATGTGGTTTATTTAATAGAGAAGGCTTATTTGGCCACAACTTTTGGAAAAAAAAAAAAAAAAAGTCAGAGGAAAACATAACTTTGTTATGAGGGAGGACTCCTGTCCTGCACTGTGGTTAAGCATATACATAGTTTTTAAGGAAAGCAGAACTAATTCTTAGAAAGGATAATAGGCAAATAAATTTCTCATGGCAGCTTAACTCTTTTAGAATTTAACCATGTACATCCATTGAAGGGTACTGTCAGACTGTACTGGAGATAATGGGACAACTTTGTCATCAGAATAGTTCCAGTATTCCATCAAGTTTTTATTTATAACTTAACTGAGAACTGCATCAACTTGGATATCTGATGAAGATTCCCAGGGGTTTAGGTGAAAACCACATATAGTCAGCATCAAAACCTGTCAAGCTGCCTATGACTCTTTGTAATGTCTTTAATCCATAGGATAAAGCTAGTCAAGGTTTTAGTTGTAGAGGGCCAGGTCTTCAGATTTCGTAAAGTAACTAACCCATTGAAGTTGAATAGAGTTATGCCAATTTAAATAAGTTGAGGTTCCAGCCTAGAAAGTGAATGGGAAAGCAAAGCAGGGCAGGGAGTGTCAGTCATTTTGAAGGAACAGTTCAACAACTTGCAATTAGTCCTCGGCAGTACTTACATCCTGGTTGGACATCTCCCAGTATGGTCTCTCACCATAGGACATCACCTCCCACATTACAATCCCATAGCTCCACGCGTCGCTTGCCGAAGAGAACTTCCGATAAGCTATAGCTTCAGGAGCGGTCCACCTTATGGGGATTTTCCCACCCTGGAAAATATGTTGACAACTTATCAATATGACAGAATACAGAATGGCAAATGTTTAAAAGAAAAGAAAACAAATGCTATCCTGGATGCTGGGATTCTACATTCTGCCTTCTGTCAATTTGCCTTGTCAATTTGCTGCAAGTGAAAAAGGAAGCAATATATCTTTTTTAGAATTTGATAAAAATCTCATGTCATTTGTAGCCTATTTCACCAAAAATAGCACTTTGTGAAAAAAAGAAATCTCAGTTCAAAGAACAAAAAGCATTTTAAATTATTCATGTTTGTTCAGAGTCATATAATTAGTCAGAACATGCCTTTTGATTGAAAACATCCCAAGCCTGAAATTTCTGGTACATTGACATTTAATCTTTTTTTTTTTTTTTAAATGAAACATCTATTGCAAATTGGAGCACTGAAAGCACTTAATAGAATTATGTAAGCAGAAAGGAAACTATAGCCTTTCTATTACTCTTTATTCTTTATGTTCTTTTCAAATTTTTGTTGTGCCCTTTAAATAACCAGGTAAATAGCAAACCAAGTGTGTTTCTAATAAGGTTTTCCTTAGGATATTGAATACTTTCGTTCTGCAGCTTTCAACCTAAAATCCAAGTGCTACCACAAAAAAAAAATCTGTAAGAATTCAATCAACAAATCTGACTTACTCTTTACAAGACCACAGCACACACAATTTTTCTCTGACGTCAGTAATTTATACCATTGAACCTGATCTGTTCTCCCATAAATAGTTTAGGTATGAAAACTGTTTTCCCTTTTCACAACAAAGTATTTCTTCTCCAGATACATTTATCTTTTCAAAAGTATATGTTTATTATCATTCTCCATAGAACTCTTTTAAATAAGCAGAGAGAGCAAGCAGTATGGTTAAGGTGCCACTAGATGGTAGAAGGCGGCAGTCAGTAGAGCTGAGCTCACTTGGCAGTAGTTGCTTTCAACAAGCAGTAATAGATTCTGCTCCACATTATAATTATATTTCTGACAGAAACAAAAGAAGAAATGAACTAGAACATCCGTTTGGCAATTGAAGAGAAGCCACAGTTAAAAACAAGTATGTAAATCTCTGTTAACTTGCTTTGAATATATAAAAAAATTGTCTGCGAGTTGTTGAGGCCTGACTTCAACTGACTAAGAAGATGTTTGTTCTACCGAAAAGTGTTCAAAAGCAAAGCGCTGTGAGTGTGGTGATGTGCCAGTAAGCTAACTTCTCATCGCCGGGTCTCGCCTGCTGCGGAAGAATGTACGGTTAACATTTGTGCTGTATGATAGTGATGATAGTAGTCCAGATATCCTTTGTATGTTTTTTGCGGCTGCTTTTTTAAAGCCTTTGCTTGCTCAGCTGTGGTTGAAGTCGGTCGCAAACCACCTCCTGATTTTAGCAGTAGTAAAGTAAAGGTAATACCAAGTACCTCCCCCACCCTCTTTTCTTAATCCAGTATCCTGGTGGCCAGATCGCTCCTCTGGCACGTCAGAGATGCAGAGAGCTTTACGCCCCACCCGCTGCCATCCCTGAGCCTGCCCGAGCCAGCACTGCAGGGCGTGACGCTCCCCGTCCCTTCCCGGTACAGCTCTGCCCCTTGGGAAGCAATTCCAAGTGCTTTTGGGTATGAGAATGAAGAAATAAGGTGACAAAGGAGATTTGTGATAGGACATTCTCCAAGGAAAGATCGGCCTAATTTCTTGTCTCTTCCCCAGGGAATAGTTAAACCTTCTAAACAAACTGGATGGGAGCATTTGGTGTTTGATCTCACGGTATGGTTGCAATGGTGTTTTGGTGGGATACTGAGTCCAAGCTTCCTGAGGCAGTGGAATATTTAGATACTCAAGTGCCCCACTACACCCTGGGCTGTCTAACCAAAAGGATGTGTCCTCTGATAAACAGGCAGTTTTAGGCTCTAACTGCTGAGTATAGTCCAAAATACCTCCTCACACCACAGAGCTATGGGCCTTATCCTTTCTACTGGATTTGGTTTAGTCCTTTATTTTTAAACTTTTCACCGCCAAACTTATGTAATTCCATCCTTAGATCCCTGGCTTCTGCAGAGTTTTGGGGACAATCGGTATTTTCCTGGCCTAAGTCACAGGGTCGTGGTAGGCATTTAACTCATTCTTTGCACCTGGACACACGCACTGTTAAAAAGGTAAACAACATTCCTGCCGATCCATATCGCAGGAGACATTGCCCCGACGGCCCTAACAGCCCTTCCTCGGCAGCAGGGAACCAGGCCTGGCTGACAAATGACATCGAAGATGATATTCTTGTTCCAACACAAGAGTTCACTGTCTGAACCTCTTCTTACGAAGCAATCCCCCTTGATGCCTTTTGTGTCCGCTCGAGGTAGTGTCTGGAGTGCCACACCTGCATTCGAGGGAGGATGCAAAAGAAAAACTCCGTATTTTCTTTCCTTATCACGTATCTCCGGAGATGACAGGAAGAAAAGTCTACCCGTTTAGATGGTTGTGTTACTGTAAGACTTTGCTTGTCAAGACAAACTGATGACTCAACAAATTTACTATGCGCCTACATTTCTGATTTGGAGAGTTTTATTAATAATTTATTATTTTTTGAATTTTAATGAAAAGTCTTATGTTAATAATTAAATATCTACTTCTAGGGAAAACACAAATCTATACATGCAAATAAAAAGCATTTGGATATTTATAGATTTTACTTTTAATGTTTATAAATAATATGGATAATATAATAGGAAAATTATTTTTTTAAGTCTGTTCTTTTCATAAATCTGATTATGTATTCCCCAGTTATACTCAAAAAAGAGGCCACATCTTGAGCAGAATTTGCAGCTAGATTTGTGACTATAGGCTAAATATAAATGAGTTTTAAAGAATCTGATTAGACTCTACAACTAGTTTCATGATACAGCTTTGCTGACTGATCCCTTTTGGACTGAAACAGTAGTGGCTCGTTGAGTGTGAAAATGAGAATGGAGAACAGAGTCTTAACAAAATTCAAGGCAGTGCGCGTTCAAGGGCATAAGATGTGCTCAGTGTTGCAATGTAAAATAAAATTCTTTTGTGCTGGCTCTAATGACAAAGTGAAGCAAAACCTCTAAAATTTTTACAATGGAATCATCTTATGTATGAAGATGTTATATTCATAAAAATGTAAATTTCAATACTTAATTATGTTTGCAGAGTATCTTTTTATGCAAAAAAGTTGTTGTCTTTATTTGAAAGCCATTCAAAAGACAGAGATTGCAATATGACTACCTTAAGAGATGTATATGATTGAACAGTAGTAATAGCTGCTCATGCATAATAAAAGAACACATAAGGTTTAGAATAGCTGAAAATATATTTCCTGTTTCTGATTAGAGTAATAAACAGTGTTAGTGATATTGGACAAGTCTTTTTACATTTTGATCTAACTGGGAAAATAATGAATACAATGCTTACTGTTTACACAATGCTTCACCTTCAAATTAATATAATTTATAAATCATCCACATTTTACTACTGTAGCAATGAAATCTGTCACAGCTCCCTGCATCAGACAACCCTTATGCAAGCCTGTTTTGCTTTTAGGTTATTTGCTCTCATTTGGGGGGCAGGGGGAAGGGGCAGAGGGGGTGTTAGGAACCAAATTGTGTTTCTGCCTCATCTCATACATTAATAATGGTAGCAGTGATAAGCTAATTTTATTTTCACATAGTAAAAGAACGCTAACACTGCTGCTATTCAAATAATTAGAATTCAGCCTTTTTTTTCCACATGCTGCCAGCTGAATAGTGTCTACCTCCTGTTTTTTTTCTCGATTGTAATTTAATAAGCAGTTTTACTACACAATGTCAAGAGTCCCGTTGGAATTAGAATATTAGGCTCACATTGCTTAGCTTGTAGAACTGTTTAGAGATCAGCCCTTGAAATGAAATTTACCCCTTCGCCCACCCACACCTACACACACGCTCGCTTTCCCTCCAGAGCTGGCACCAGCACAGCTCGCCACACATTTAAAGACAGAACTGGGACTACATGTTGCAGAATGCCTCATTCTTTACCTCAAGCTATGCATGAGAGAGACAGTCTTCCCAAAATGCCATCTCTTCTTTGAGCTTACAACAAAAAAAGTGCTTATGATCTGTTATGTGGAAAGACCTTGCTGAGGCAACTGACACCGACATTATATACGGTCCAACAGGCCACATTTTTGCAGTAGCCCATTTGATATTTTTTAATTTTACGTTAGATGTATTTTTAAAAAAACAAGAGTCATTAACAGTTTCTTTAATTAAATATTTAAAGGTATTTTAAAACTCCAGCAGAAGACTGTAACTGGCAGCTATGGCCCTGTTAGATTCCCAGAACTTTTGGCAGGCCCTGCTAGCTAATCAGAGTGAGGAGCGACAGCAATGAGAACCTTAGATATGAAACGG